TCAAATGCCTTTGACGCGTAAGTTCTTGGTGACATGGTTTTATGCTTTTTGTGTCAAGTAGAAGCATAAGTTCCAAGTCTAATACTTAGATACGACACATGATAATTTCTTTTTTAGCAGCCAAAAGAAAAACTATCAACTATGGAGTAGCAAATGGGTTAAGAAATAGAAAATCCATTGATTCCCAATTGTGGGAAAGAGATTATGTGCATTTGTGGTTCTGGAAGTGAAAGTTTACCTATGCAGCCTACCACTGAGCATGAAGTGTTGGACCACATACTCCGAACTGCTCTTTTACTATGCAAGATTTTGCCAGTCTACGGGTCCATGGTGGAAAGTCAGGTATATGCAATTTTAAGTGTATTTGTCTTAATTTCTATGCTTATTTGAAATTTACGTATCCGTAAAAGCTAATCACATATATTTTTTGGGTATCAACTACAGATGTGGAGGATACATAGAAAATTGGTTTTGAATGAGAAAGTTTCATACCTATCTATGATGAAACGACATCTAGTAGACGGTGCATTGTGCGAAGAAGGTTTGGAAAATGGTTTCACCCCTTTAATTATTTTCTGGAATTTTGTTTTCTTTATTACATTCTATATCTTTTGCGGCCTAACTAGGTCATGTTATATATTATAGCCTACGTGTTTATATCATAATTTAAATCAATATGGAGTCGAACTTAAACTAATATAAAGTCAAGCTTCATTCTGTTTGTTTGTGCTCATTCTCCTATGATTTTTTTATTATTAATTATTTTAGATTTCTTCTCAAGTTTCTTTGATGGATCAATGGTTTAGAGGTCAGATTTCTTCTCTTCGTTATTCATCGGTTTTTCCTTTCCGTTGAGTTTGGGACTTATATTTTACTTTTTTTTTATTTCGCTAGATGTAATGTTTGTTGTTTTTATGTCTAGGATCGTCTGATGGTCTCACGATGTCCAAATTTAATCGATACCTGAGATCATATGGTTCGATGAAATTTTTAATCTTCTTTTTTTTATGTTTTTGTTTCCTGCAGATTGTTATATACATGGCAGTCCAACCAAATTCTTTTGCAACAGAATTTAAATCCACATATGCAGGCTTGAATTTTACCCAAGAACGTTGTCAATTGTTTGAAAAGTACAACAAGAGACTCATATGGGTTTGTCAAAGGTGTTAGACCTGAAGATGATAGGTCGTGTAGAACCATCTATGTTATTAATGAAAATTTTCAATTTACTTTCTTGATGTTCACTATCAAGGTCGTGAGTTAATGGAGGAACATCAAAGGTGTTAGACCTGAAGATGATAGGTCGTGAAGATGATAGGTCGTGAAGAACCATCTATGTTATTAATGAAAATTTTCAATTTACTTTCTTGATGTTCAGTATCAAGGTCGTGAGTTAATGGAGGAACATCACATTCGTCAACTACACTTATTTAAATCACTATCCAGTTCCTATTGGGTATCATTGGTTTCAATTAAGAAGTGAAGTCTAACATTTTGTTCTACATAATTTGAGGAAATTCTATGCCTCTTTGCTTTTCGCTTTGTATATAGATCCACTTCTCTTACTCGAGCAATACTTGGAATCAGCCATGTTCGTAAACTTATAATGTAATATATGAGATTTAAGAGGAAAAAACTGTTTTTCATGTGATGCGAGATTGGCTGAGGTGGCAAAGAAGTTGCCACCGATGGATGACTTGCTCGCCAAGTTAGAAACATGAAATTGAGACGCTTTCTTAGATATTGTATCTATATAAATCTTT